CATTGGCTGAATTAATATTTTCATGTCCGTCTGTCCATCCGTTAATTTCTAATGCATGCAGTATATTCTATATCTGTCATAAAAATATTGAAAAACAAATTTCAAATCAATTTAAATATATATAAATTGTCATTTTTTTATTTCACAATCTCGTTTTTAATTTTTTAATAACTGCAGTATCATATAGATGCCATTAGAATAATCCGTCAATTTTTATGAAAACTGCTAAACCCAGGTAACATTAAAAAGGGTGATTTTCCGTTAGTACAAATATAGAAGCAGAAAAATATAGAATATTTTTAATCGTTTTCTATTAAAATGTTTATGCGAGCTTGACATTATAAAAATACATTAGTATCGAAGCAAGTAGAAAGTAGTATAAAAGTGTTAAGTAATTTTTATATGCCAAAAATTCCGGCAAAGAAATAAATACAATTTTAATTTGTATGCCATTGTAAAAGGATTTATAATATCAGTCAAAAGTTTGCACCACAGCGAAGGAGACATTCCCGACCCTATAAAGTATATATATTCTTGATTAGCAGCCCTAGGAGAGTAATCTAGCCGTCTGCCCGTCCTACCGTTTTTACGAAAACTAGTCTGTCTCAATTTTCTCAAAAGTCGTGTTTCTATTGCAGGTAGAATATAAGTCGGAACAAACCGGACCAGTCGACTTAATCATATAGGAATATGTTAGTCACAAAGGACAATCGGAAAAACAGATAAATGCAGATGTTTCAAAAATTAAATATTCTTTTAGACATATAAATTTCGAATTATATGCGTTTATGTCTAAAAACATTGAAGCTATGATGATTTTCAGCTCAATTATAACATCATCACTATGTCAGCTATATGACATCGATTTTGTTAAAATTAAAAGCATAATTCTGAATTATTAAACCATTACTATGTCCAAAAAAATTACAATATGAAAATTAGAGAAGGTACAATTTTTTTCATATATTTTTTTTACTATTCCGATAGTTCCCATGGGAGCTATATGATACAGTCCTCCGATTTATATTGAATTTAAACCGTAATTGTAAAATAATAAACCATTACTATATATTAAAGTAAAAACAAATAATTTAAAAAACAGCAAAGCTATTATTTTTTCACTATTTTTCTTGGTTGTTCCTATGAGAGCAATATGATATGGGCGTCTGATCCGGCTCGTTCCGACTTATATAATACCTGCAATAGGAAGACAACTTTTGGGAAAGTTTCATGCAGAAAGCTTTAAAACTGAGAGAACAATTTGCGTAGAAACGGACAGATGTGCGGAAATACGGACACGGCTAGGTTGATTTTGCTAGTGATGCTGAGCAAAAATTTATATATATATATATATATATATATATATATATATACAATCTGCAAGGGTATAATTTTTGGGAACGCTATAGTCGAGTTCCCTCGAGGCCCTGCAAAATAAATATGTCCCCACAAAACATTTCGGTTTTAGGTGGCGTTGTCTGCCGAACAGTAAAACACTTCAAGCTAAGAGTGAGCAGCACCCCCACCCCAGCTAGCAGCAACCCTATCCAGTGTTGCCTGTTTCGCTTTTTTCCCGTCAAATCTGGCTTCTTTTATAACCAATTGATAGAAAAATTCGAAAACAGCGGGCACCGGAAATTCCATTTTTATTTCTTTAATAGTTAAATTTTCTCGTTTTTTTAGTATAGGCATTAATTTTTTTTTATGATTTCCAATAACTTCTCTAACTTGATACCTAACTCTGTGTTAAAGTTAATCAAGGTTTCCGATGGCAAAAACGCAAGTTTATTTACTAAAATAAAACGCCTAACAGTATTCCGTATATAAAGAAACAGACTAACTTGTTTTTTAGTAAAAAGCAACTAAAGTATCTACCTGAAAATAGCATTAAAAATGTCAAACTATTAATAGGTCAAAAAGATTTAAAAAAAAAATACAAAATAAAAAAGTTAATTTGTATACCCTTGCGAGGGTATTATAATTTCAGTCAGAAGTTTGCAACGCAATGAAGGAGACGTTTCCGATAAAGTATATATATTCTTGATCAGCGTTGCAAACTTCTGACTGAAAAGCTCAGAAAATTCTCGTTTTTCTAGATTTTTTCTTGAATATGTTCTCCTTCTATCCTGTCAAAGTTAGTATCTTTTTTTCAATGAAAAGTTGGCAACACTGACTATCTAACGACACGAATGGTACAAAACCGTTGTCGTCACACATACGTTGAGAAGACTCGCCGTGAAAATTACTCACAGAAATGAAGGGCGAGCTTGTCAATGTACATATGTGTGATCTCCGCTGCTCTCCAGGCACGAGCTCCGATTTTCAAAAAGCAGTGACGTTCAAGCAATACATAATTGCCCATAACTTCTAAAACAGGGGTGCTCAAAACTGCCTTATGGCAGTGCATTTAAAAAAGATCACGAACACAGTTAAAGAATTCATGGTAGAGCCGAGGTAAAGACAAAAACAAATTTCATTTGACTTAGTCAACCCAAAAAAAAACAACGTAATTGTTGTTGCGAAAAATCATTAGTGTATAGCAAAATGTGCCTAGCAAGCTTTCCTAATGTGCCGTCCCTCACATCTCCATAAGAATGTGAGTTAACAAAAATAATTGTGCTCTATGTGCATATCCGTGAGCACCCCTGTTCTAAAATAAATGATCGATTTGGAAAATAGATAGCTAGCATGGGCAGGCGGGGCGGCGACCCAGGGCCCCGAAAGGAAGGGGCCAGTATTAAAATTATAACTTAGATGTTTTTTGTATATTAATGGTTTTAGAATTTCTGTTTGAATTTTATTAAATTTGGACGACAATATTATATGGCTCCCATTGGAATATTCAGAGAAACAAAAAATATGAAAATATGGACGACTGGTCGTTCAGCTCCCATAGGCACAATTGGAAATATAAAAAACCAATTCTTAAAAACGTACCCCAAAACAAAAAAACAAACACTGAAAGAGTCATTTCAGGACACCAAAACAAAAAAAAGCCGAAACAGTAATTCCCAGAAACATACTTAAATCAAAAACAAGAATGCCAAGTAAAGAAGAACAGTGAGTACTGTAAGTACAAATTACTGAAATAATCGAGAATCTCGCAGTGATGAATTGTAAATGAAGTGTAACAAGTGACAAGTGCTCTTTTCTTCTCAGCATGTTAGTCATTAGTTCTTTTGTTTTTAATTATAACATGTAGCGCGGTCTCTTTGAATGTCCTCAGAGTGTCACCAAATAAATGGGTGCTATAATTTTGGTAATTTCTGAACTTATGTTCGGCAAGCCGAAGCTCATATACCCTTGCAGCTATTGCAAAAATTAAACATTCTTGATAACATTAAAATTATGATTTACTTGCGTTAATGTTTAAAAACATTGAAGCTATGATGATTTGCAGATCAATTATTCGATAGTTCCTAAGGCAGCTATATAATATCCTTTTTCGATTTTAATAAAACTAAAAGCGTAATTCTGAACTCTCACATTATTAATAAGTCAAAAAGAATTTAAAAAAAAAATTACATATTAGAAATGTTAAATTTTTATACCCTTGCAGAGGGTATTATAATTTCAGTCAGAAGTTTGCAACGCAGTGAAGGAGACATCTCCGACCCTATAAAGTATATATATTCTTGATCAGCATCACTAGGCGAGTCGATCTAGCCATGTCCGTCTGTCCGTCCGTCCGTCCGTCTGTCCGTCTGTCCGTCCGTTTATATGCAAACTAGTCTCTCAGTTTTAAAGCTATCTGCATGAAACTTTCCCAAAAGCTGTCTTTCTATTGCAGTTAGTATATAAGTCGGAACGAGCCGGATCGGACGACTATAGCATATAGCTCCCATAGGAACAATCGGAAAAATAAATGCAAAAAAAATTATAACTTTGCTGTTTTTTAATTTTTTGTTTAGTTCTTCGACATTTAGTAATGGTTAAATATTTCCGATTTACGGTTTAAATTTCATCAAAATCGGACGACTATAGCATATAGCTCCCATAGGAACAATCGGAAAAATAAAGGAAAAAAAATTATAACTTTGCTGTTTTTTAATTTTTTGTTTAGTTCTTCGACATATAGCAATGGTTAAATATTTCAGAATTATGGTTAAAATTTCATCAAAATCGGACGACTATAGCATATAGCTCCCATAGAACAATCGGAAAAATAAATGAAAAAAATTATAACTTTTCTGTTTTTTAATTTTTTGTTTAGTTCTTCGACATATGGCAATGTTTAATTATTTCAGAATTATGGTTTAAATTTTATCAAAATCGGACGTCTATATCATATAGCTCCCATAGAACTAATAAAAGTATATAAAATAACTATCTAATAATTGAGCTGCAAATCATCATAGCTTCACTGTTTTTCAGTATATACTCAAGTAAATCATAATTTAAATGTTTTCAAAAGTATTTAATTCATGCAATAGCTGCAAGGGTATATGAACTTCGGCTTGCCGAAGTTTGCTTTCTTTCTTGTTTTTAAACATTTTTATTGTATCTATGGGAGCTTTGTGTTATAGTCGTCCGATTTTGATGAAATTTAACCCGTAATTCTGAAATAATTACTATTATTATGTTACTATTATTACTATATGTCGAAGAACTAAAAAATAAATTAAAAAACAGCAAAGCTATAATTTTTTCATTTATTTTTCCGTTTGTTCCTATGGGAGATATTTGCTGTAGTCGTCCGATCCGGCTTATGTACTAATTGCAATAGAAAGACAACTTTTTTCATGCAGAGACTAGATTGCGTATAACGGATGAACGGTCGGACGTGGCTAGATCGACTCCTCTAGTGATTCAGATCAAGAATGGGTTGGAAATGTGTGCTTCACTGCGTTGCAAACTTGTTGATAATAGGGTTATTAGCATCTTAAGCTAGACTAATTATGTTTACACTCATTCATTTTTCGTTGGGTGTATGATTCGAAAGTATGCTAAAACAGATAAAGGCTTCAAATCTAAAATAATTGGCTTTTTTCATTAAACAGGTCATGGAGGCGTAAATCAACTAGGAGGCGTGTTCGTTAACGGGCGCCCACTGCCCGATGTCGTTCGTCAGCGAATTGTGGAGCTCGCGCACAATGGTGTCCGCCCATGTGACATATCACGCCAGTTACGCGTGAGTCATGGTTGTGTGTCTAAGATACTATCAAGGTAATTAGGAATTTAAAAGGAAATATTTTTAGAAGTGTACACACACAAAAGAATAACAAGAGGGAAGCTTTACTCGTGTTCCTCGACTACAAGATACCCATTAGTTTAACAAAAGGCTGTAAACGCTTGCGTTTAAAATAGTGAAGCTATTAGCTATGATCGTTGTTACGGCAGCTATATGATATCTTTGATAATAATAAACCATCACGGTATATCTAAATACTTTTAAATAAATTAAAAAACAGCGAAGCTAAAATTTTTCACATTTTTCCTCTTGATTTTCAAGGGAGCTATATGACATAGTCGTCCAATCCCGCTCGATCCAACTTATCTACTGTCTGCATCAGAAAAACACCTTTGGGGAAAGTTTAATCAGGACAGCTTTAGAAATGAGAGACTAGTTTGCTTAGAAACGGACAGACGGACGGTCAGACGAACATGGCTAATGATGCTGGTCAAGAAATAAGTACTTTATTGGGTGAAAATGTCTCCTTCACTACGGCGCAAACTAAACTTTACCTACAACAAGAAAGAAAGCAAACTTCGGCAAGCCGAAGTTCATATACCCTTGCAGCTATTGCAAGAATTAAACATTTTTGAAAACATTAAAATTATGATTTACTTGCGTATATGTTTAAAAACATTGAAGCTATGATGATTTGCAGATCAATTATTTGATAGTAATTTTATATATTTTTATTATTTCTATGGGAGCTATATGATATAGACGTCCGATTTTGATAAAATTTAAACCATAATTCTGAAATATTTAACCATTGCTAAACGTCGAAGAACTAAACAAAAAATTAAAAAACAGTAAAGTTATAATTTTTTTTCATTTATTTTTCCGAATGTTCCTATGGGAGCTATATGCTATAGTCGTCCGATTTTGATATAATTTAAACCGTAAATCGAAAATATTTAACCATTACTAAGTGTCGAAGGACTAAACAAAAAATTAAAAAACAGCAAAATTATAATTTTTTTCATTTATTTTTCCGATTGTTCCTATGGGAGCTATATGCTATAGTCGTCCGATTTTGATATAATTTAAACCGTAAATCGGAAATATTTAACCATTACTAAATGTCGAAGGACTAAACAAAAAATTAAAAAACAGAAAAGTTATAATTTTTTCATTTATTTTTCCGATTGTTCCTATGGGAGCTATATGCTATAGTCGTCCGATCCGGCTCGTTCCGACTTATATACTACCTGCAATAGAAAGACAACTTTTGGGAAAGTTTCATGCAGATAGCTTCAAAACTGAGAGACTAGTTTGCATATAAACGGACAGACGGACATGGCTAGATCGACTCTACTAGTGATGCTGATCAAGAATATATATACTTTATAGGGTCGGAAACGTCTCCTTCACTGCGTTGCAAACTTCTGACTGAAATAAGAATTTCCTCTGCAAGGGTATATATATAATACCCTCTGCAATTTTTTCGTCGCTTAAATCAGCGGTATGGAGCAGCAACCGAACAAAATAAACCTTGTCGATTTTCGATGAGTTTTCAATCGTTCCTATGGAGCAATGTGTTATAGTCTTCCGATCCACCCCGTTTCGACTTTTATACTACATGCATTGGAAAGAAAACTTTTGTGATAGTTTATTCAGAAAGCAATAAAACCAGTTTGCGTAAAATCGGAGGGACAGAAGGACATGACTAGATCGACTCTTCTAGGGATGCTGATCAGGAATGTATATACTTTGTAGGGTAAAAAATGTCTTCTTTGACTGAAATTATAATACTTTCTGCAAGAGTATAAAAAGGCAGTTTGTAAAGTAAAAACTAAAATTTTTATTGCTGTAAAAGTATTCGCAATGCTCAACTATATAAGTAGGATAACTTGACTTTGTCATTCTGTTTGATTTTTAGTAACAAAGATTTCCGATGTTTTATTTTCAGATATTATGAGACTGGTAGCTTTAAGGCCGGTGTTATTGGCGGTTCCAAGCCAAAGGTAGCCACCCCGCCGGTAGTAGATGCAATAGCCAACTATAAGCGCGAAAACCCCACAATGTTCGCGTGGGAAATACGGGATCGGCTGTTGGCAGAAGCTATTTGCTCCCAGGACAATGTTCCCAGTGTTTCTTCGATAAATCGGTAAGAAAAAGCTCATAGGATTGTTGGAGTGCCAATAGAGCCCAATACCCAAACTCAAGCGTGGACTAGAACGGATATACGCACATCCGTAACGCGCTCTGTTAGTGTTCGAAGTTTGTTTGCTGTCATGCTGTTAACATCCGTATCCGTTTCCTCGGAAGCTAAACTCTGATGGAACAGAACCCAACATCATGCTGTTCTGTGACTTTATATTTTGGCGAACCTTTCATCTAATAAAAATATCTAAGTAGTTTTTAGCGTTCATAATTGTGGCACAATGCTTGACACACGACCACAACAAAAGCCACTTTCCTCTCTACCATCCGGTGTGGCTTTATTGCCGACAACATCATCGCAGAATCTTGCCCAGGCCACGTGGCAGTTCCGATGTCGAAGCTGCCCCACATTGCTTTTATTTACGCATTTCCTTTCTGACCATAATTTATGTTGGTAGCATTCAAAGTTGCCACCGAAAAGTGGCTGCATAAACCTTAAAGCTCTAATTATATCTGCTTTTATATTGTCACAACCTGTTTTATTTAGCATAGACCCCTGTTGCTAAGAACCCACCCTCAAAATTGTTTCAACGATTTTGGGTCGTCGTCCCTCCAATAAATATTTTTATTTGAAAGTGTGTATTTTGAAATATTATTAATTAACAATTATTTTATGTTATTACCCTACTCTTGTAATACGTTTTATATACTTTCTAGATCAAAAGATCACAACATGGCATTTATAGACACAATTTTAATAGTGTAACAGAGAATCGGACAGACGGATGTGGCTAGATCGTCTTTCCTAGTGTTGCTATTTTAGAATATAAATACACTATTGCTTTGCAAACTGTTGACTGAAATTTTAATTCCCTCTGCCAATGTATATCAAATATCATAACTACTCATCTACTCATGGATTTTTATACCCTTGCAGAGGGTTTTATAATTGCAGTCAGAAGTTTGCAAACTTCCACTTTCTGGAAAACACGCTAGTTTAGCGGGAAAACGGCTAAAACACTACTTCCATACGACTTAGACTGTAATCGTTGAAAAAGTATTTTAAGGGATATTTACCTCTTCCTCACATAATTTCTTCATGTAAAATATTTATGAAATTATAGCCAATATTAAGTTTTTGCGTTAAAATTGTGAAAATTTTTTTTTTAACTATGGCTACAATATTGGGGTAATTTGACTATATTTCAAACAAAAACTTCTGATATCAAACAAAAACACCTCTTAACGAGGTAAAAAGTGGTGATCATCGTACCTTTAATATATAAAATATCTGATATCAAATTTTGTGACGAAAAACGAATAAACATACGACCAAATAAATACACATTTTAAATGTTCCCATTCGCCACGCTGAAATAAAAAATACCTGTGAAGGCAAAATACCTGGATGAACAAGCTTTCTGTAATAGTGCTTGTTGACTAGTGGCCAACAATTTTGTTATTACCACTCACAATGGTCATTTTAAACGAAACGGAATTGTCATGAATGAATTGTCAGAACTGTGCGTTATAGTTTTTTCAATAGCCCAGTCATAACGGACGACAACTAATTAGGATCAAAATCGTATCCGTAATCGTAATCGGAACCGATATAATATGTTCCTAACTGGAACCGTAACCGAAATATATAGGATTCAGAATAACAGAATAACAAATACATAAGTCGTAAAACGTCTTAACTATTTTATGTGTCAGAACCTGCCAATGCTTTTGTTTAAGAGGATTTTTTTTCACAATTGAAAATAAAGGAAGAAAAACGAAAGAAAATATTTTGTTCATTCATACAAAAATTGCCAAATACAAATGCCTACCGAAAATATGGCACGTTCGGCAAAATCAAAAATTTAAGTTGTACTTAGTGTGAAAAAAGTGTTAATAGTTGCATTTATATTTAATAGTTAATATTTTTTTTTGTATGAAGTTGCTAAGCGTTCTTAAGTAAATCAATAGAAGTAAAATAATTTAAAGCTTCTAGAAACTTCGTCAAAACCCTATTCGCTTTAATCATTAATTTCTTGCAATAACATTTAGTTATTATGTTAGAAATATTTTTTTAACCGGTTCAATACCGGTTCCCGCAAACCGAAACCGTAATCGAATTAGTTATATGGGTTGTAAGCGTAAAAGTAACCGAAACCGATATTTGATTCGCTTTTAATTCCTGTTCCTATTTTATTTATATGCGTATATGGTCAAAAACATTGAAGCTATGATGATTGTCAGCTCAATTATTTGATCGTTTCTGTGGCAGCTATATGATATCATTATCCGATTTGAATAAAATTAAAAGCATAATTTTTGAGCTATCAAATTATTACTTTGTCAAAAAAATAGAGAACTTAATTTTAAAAATTAATTTCACATATTTTTTTGATTGCTCCGGTGGGACCTATATGCTATAGTCGTCCGATCCGGATCGTTCCTCCAACAAGAAGCAAGTTTTGGAAAAGTTTCGTGCAGAAAGCTTTATAACTGAGAAACTAGTCAAGAATATATAACCTTTAAAGGGTCGGCATGTCTCCTTCACTATAAAACAACTACGGCTAGATTTTTATGCGCGTAGGCTAAACCAATTTTTCCCTAGCTATTTCAAACGTTCCCTTGGCACCTATGTCGTGTTTCGATAATATTAAATACAATTAAAACCGTTATTATAAATAAAATAAATTTAGAAAAAGCAAAATTATCATTTCTTCGATTGTTCCTTTTGTGCCCAGTTTGTTGTTTAGTTTCCGTCGGCTGCAAATGTCTGGGAACAAGTTAAAAAAATCGGTGATTATAATGAAGTAAAGTGTTCAGAAATATTTAACGTAGCAATTGAAGAATATCAGGTGCTCCCGGCTCTATTAGATGTCATTGGAAAGCTAATTTTTTTTACCAACCACACTTCCCTTTCCCATTTACAGCAAGCTTATAGGCAAAAAAATGAAATTAGAATTAGAGTTTTCAACCGCACCCGCCACGTGCAACCATTCATAATCAATTCGATTCGTATTACCACTCCGCCTGCAATACTTAACCAACGCAACGCAACGCCAACGCAACGCAACGCCAACGCCAAAGCTGACATGTGACCGATGATAATGTAAAAGTCGCGGCGGACGGGGTAAGTCCTGGTATAATCAGCAAGGACAACAACATAATGCGAATACGACAATGTGTGATGTGATGGCACTTGAGCGATGATTAGGGTGGTGATTCAATCGAATCAAAATTGTGCCTATAACGGTGGCAGGACTCCCCATACACTGATTCCCGTGAGACTGACACTTAATAAAGTGACTTTCATAGCACTCAACCAATTTTAGTTTTCAGCCCTCCGCTCGAATACAGCCAAATGTATCTACATCTACATATGTACTCAGAGCCTGCAGCGGGATGTTCTTTTCTAGCATCCCGAACATATGTCTCAATTGTGTGCACTGTCCAAATATCCAATTGCTCATCCCGTTTCCAAAATGATACTGGAAAAAATGGAAAAACTGAGACTGTTGTCATCAGGGCATGTTTTGGGCAGACTGAAGTCAAAGTCGTTCCAACCCCTTGTAGCATTGGGAGGCGAACCATACGCCTAACAATCTAAAAGGTATTCTGTTAAATGTAATAACATCGTAATTAGGATGACTCTAGGCAGTTAACTATTTCTTTATATAATAAAAGATCGGTGACGTTTTATTTAAAAATGTATATATTTTAGATTTCAGTATGTTTATGCCTATAAATATATGTTGTAAGCCTTTCTCAAATATATCGCAAGTTAAGAATAAGAACCGTATTTTGCGTTACTCCTGTCGGTATTATATGGATGTGTCTAGTTGTGGATAAGTCTGCGACTTAACAAAACCAAAGGAAGGGAATTAAATACATAAACTTGTTCGGCGAGCAATTAAGGGGACTGTTCAATCTAAAACATTTTTTCTAACCTTTTTTTCTCAGGACATTTTTAAACATTCTTCCTAAATTTTTGATTTTCATTTAAAAACAATGCAGCTTAGCAGCTAAATGACATAGTTGCCCGATTTTAATAAATTTAAAAACAGCGAAGCTTTGAATTGTTTTTTTTTAAAGAAGAGTTTTGGGAAATTTCAATCCATATATGTAGTTTCAGAGCTGAGAGACTAGTTTGCGTAAAAATGACGGATCGACTACTTTATGTTTTTTTTTTTACAACTGAATAGTCCGATTAGCGAAGTATCCATGGCTAATGACTCCCTTGAAAGTGCTAATCAAAATAATAAAAAACATAACGTATTTCCTTGAACATTGACCTATTTAACCGAAAGCGAATGGGATCTACTATGTGGAGTACGATTATTCGATATCCACTTGCTATAAATAAATTTATGTAAATGAAAATCATATCTACACATATTTTTACTAAGATTCGAAATGCTTGACTTTCAGAATTGTAAGGAACAAGGCCGCGGAGAAAGCCAAACACGTCCATCATCACCAGCAGCACCATGTGCCACAGAGTCTTGGTGGGGGACACATTGCAACAGAAAGCCTTGATAGCAGCACAGGGACAAACGGGGAGCAGCCACAGGCACCGAGTGGCGGAACCAGCAGTAGCAGTGCTCACTCCGCTAACATCAACGCTTCTGCGACGGCGATTGCGCACGCATCAATAGCGACGTCAGGATCTGATTCTGTCCAAGTGCCGGTTGGCCAAGTTAACGTGACCGGCAATGATACCAGCAATGGAAACATCAACCCAACGACTGAACAACGAACGACTGGATATAGCATAAATGGAATCTTAGGGATACAGCATGGACACCATTCTCACAACAACAATAACAGCAGTAGCGTCAACAACAATAACAATTCGGATCCCAATTGTAAACGCAAAAGAATCGAAGCTCATGGTAAGTTTTCCAACCATTTTAGGAAACGGCCCAGCTTTTCTCCGTCCATGCAGAATAAACCGAGTTTTTTGGAGAACTTTTCAAAGCGAGAAATAATTGTTTTAACTAAATAATAGGACTTTTTTTTCAAAAAGCCAGATCTTACGTCTTTCTTTATAGCGAACTCATTATGTACAAAAAAAGATTACTTATCTAAAAGCCAATCAAGAAACAGATGAGATGAAATAAAATCAAAAATGATTGTGGTTTCATTTACATACATTAGGTATTTTGTACTGCATGACGAGCGCGGCGAATAGATATTATCTAAATTGACTGTAGCGGTTGGTGGAGCAGACTCACCCACATCTTAGATTGAAGTTGATAATAACTCCAAGCTGTTCATATCAGGTATTCCAAAATACGTTGGGTATTTTAACAATGACCAACAGCAATTGAGTCGTTGTTAGACCACGAAACATTAGTTATGGTATTAATGTACAGCACGACACTTAACGAGTTCTTTTACTTCATGTTTGAAAGCTGGATGCCATTATCCTGATGACATTAAATATATATAAAGGTTATCTGATCTCAAAAGAACTGCAAAGTATTGTCATCGCATGGGTAATAAAAAGCCATATAAAAATCACAAATCGACTCATTGCTTTTTTCAAGCTTCCCTAAAACTGCTATTCGTGTCCCTTTGGGACTTAACTGCTGTTCACTTGTGGCAAATTTGTTCAAATAAAGCAGATCGATGCAGTAAGAGTGCCATGAAATGAGACCAAAGGGGTGGTTGCCGAGTGACCGATAGACTTATATCTGTGCCCATGTGGCCAAATTTGTCAACCAAAAACATTTTAGGTTTCTTCAGCATCAACTTCAAATAAATTACAAGTAATCTAATCTTCAGTTATTATACAAAACAGTATCCTTAACTAGTCTGTTACAGAAGGAGAAGCAAAAATACTTATAGGCTAAAGATAATGAAGTAAGAGCTGGGGTTATACTATGTTTCGACTATAGTACTTATTAATTGATTATATAAGTATCAATTTGACCGGAAGCTTAAAAAACCTATCAAAATATTTGATTATTAAATCAGTATCGTGCAAGGGGTTAACTCCTTGAAGTTGCTTTTAATCTATTATAACAAAAGAAGAAAAACTTAAAAGGGTGTCTATGTACATGTATTTGCATTACTGCCGCCAACGGCAAAGTGACTATTAACTCACAAAAGCACTTAGGCGGCACGTGACATTGACATTGCTAGAAAAACACAAAACGAAAAGGAAATATTATGTCCAAACAGTAATATGTATTAACAAAATTAACTGATTAATGTTTTTCCAATTTATTTTTTAGATGAGAACCGTGACACAAATATTCATTCCGAAGAAGATGTAAAACGTCAACGTATGGGGTACAGCAGCGATCAACTTTACCCAAATGTGAGTGCTCAATTTGGTTTAAACTTTGACTTATGCAATAATAAGTAACCGTCGCGGCGCCTTTAACTGTTTGTACAAATGTGCTTACGGCTTATTTAAAAGTAAAACCTTTCTTTGTGCCTTTACTGGAAGTGATTACGTGATTTTAAAGAGTTTCGTTGCCAGTTTTGTGTTGTCCAAAAAAGTCCGTCGTTGATTATCATAACCAAAAGAATATTACACTTTAAATTTAATAGGTAGACTTATTTTCCATCCGTACTTTAATGTCCCAAAATAACTCGGAGCTCTAAATCAGTGGTAACCGAAGGCCTATATCTGGAGTATATACAGCAGCAGGAGGCAAAACAGTATAAAGGCCTAGTTACACTTGGGTTGCTAAATTGCGTCTGTGGCTAGACGCAGTTTTTTTTCCATAGGTTTTGTACAGGCGGAAAGAGATGGGGAAAAAGTGCGTCAAAGTGCATATTTCTACAAAATTTTGATTTTTACTTATAGCATTCAAAGGGGTATTCTGGTCTAGAACCCTGAATTTTGGTAATTTTTTTTAAATATTACAAAAACAAACGAAAACATTTTTATGATTATTATGATTGAATCGATTTTTTTATTAAAAGATCGAAAAGGATCGGTGCACAGAGAATCCTTTTTTTCGCAGCTCTACCAAGCTGTTCGTGCCATTTACAAGTCGGAGTAGCAATAGCTAAATGCTTAATGCATTAGGATATTAAAAACTATTCACACTGACGGCCTTTCTGCAACAGCGGCCAAATTCCGCATCAGCTGCTTTTTCTTCCACAAGAAGTAGATGTGTTAGAAGGAGACGGGAAAAAGTCACTCGAGCTCGTTGTTGCAATTAATGATGCCGAAATATGTCCTGAAATAACAACAAAAATTAAAAAAATTTTATGTCATTTTTTCTTGGCACTTTTGAAAATTTTGAAAAGGGAGATGCATTTAGTGGTTTTGCGGGCAATGCCACATAATGTTGTTAAATGAACAAATGTCAATTTTATTAGGTAAAAGATTAGGGAGGGAAGATCTACTAGGAGCACGAAAAACCTTTATACTGGGAAGTCCAGCAAGAATAAATGGATCGAGGAGTGACCACCATGATGTCATCCATTAACATTAGTGGACAAATCATTAGCTGAGTAATAACTTTCCACTGGCGAATGTCAAAATTGAATTTAGTTTTGCGTTGAAATCTATTTGATTGACGGCAAAATTCAATTTTGTGTTTTCTTCTTCTTTTTAACTTTGTTTACTGCTCGTAAGCCCTTCAGCTGTTTTTGCATCAGAGTGTGCCGGTGGGAATGGCTCGCTTCAACATTTTTGCTACAACTCTATTAAGCGGCTATATATAATATATATGCAGTAAGGAAAGAGGTCATTCGAGTCTGTACGTGTGCATACATACATGAGTACTAGGAGCGCGTACAAATTTTGAGGTAGTACTGTATAATTTTCTTTTTTTATAATTTGCCGGCAAGCCTGTTTTAAAATTCGTTAGCTGACTAATAGAGCACACGAATTGTGGTTTCCTCCTTGTGTACACTGATTAAGTTAAAAAATCTTGCCGACTAGTTTTCACTCGGATATGAAATTGATAACATTTTCGGATTTCCCTTCAACATAATCGACCCGCTGGTGTCCCTCAGCTAATGACAACAATGGCATATTATTTTAAAGCATAAAATCAAAGCTCCAAGGATTAGCGGCCAAAAATACAAATTTTAAAATATTTGTAATTATAATCAGCTTTTTAAACAATGCTGGAAACTTCTGCAGGCAGTGTTGTTTACTTTTCACTAGAAGTGTTGAGAACCAGAGCTGCCGACGGCGATGATAACGGTCCCAACAAAACACGTTTTGCACAAATGTTCATTAAATTTAGTGGTAATAAGAACAAAAACACTTTTAAATTTAACTAAATACTTTTCTAACCATATTTAAAGCAACTGATAAGGGGTTGCAAAAATTAAGTAAAAAAAATTCTTTATTTTTCGTTCGGAAACTAATAAAACTAAAGCCTAGTAATCAAAAATCATTGAGTTAAGGGGTATCCGCCACTTGTAACTGTAAAATGGTGTTCCTTGCATATTTTTAAACAACAAATATCTTAGTGATGTACTACTAAATTTCAATTTGATCCTAAAAATAACTGGCAACAGTATTATCGTTAAAAGAAAGGATCCGTTGCGTAGACGATTGCCTAGTATGTTAATATAAAACATTAGACCCGTCCTCGAAATGACATTTTGTTAATTCGGAGACCAAAACAACTTTAAACAACTGAACTGACTTTCTTTTTAATTTAAAAAAGAATTGAATGGAAATGCGTTTTAATGCGCCAAGGGAATCCGGCTTTTTGCGAGTTACTTGTTAAAAATCAGATTTGAAATATGTATATCGAGGTGCTAACCAACATTATAGCTGTATGTACTATATAACGACTTCTTTACATTTATATATTTTAAGATTTGGTCAGGTAAATGGTGTATTAAGGATGAGCACAAGCTTCTTGCCGAGCTTGGCAATTTGACAACAGGTACCGGAAACTGCGCAGCCTCCTACTATGAGGCTTCAAACGGCTTTTCAACAAACTCAATATCAGGATCTGGTCCGACACCCACTGGTAGTGATACGTCTATGTTGTACGATAGTATTGCGACGATTTCGCAAACTCAAGGCTCACTTTATACACCGACAATCGGACCATCAATTGGTAAGCATTTTTCCTTCTACAAAAAACTATAAGTTATAGTTTTTAGTTTTATTACTTGTTTTGAGTATTATATTTTGTTGTTAAAATTGAATTCCTCTTTATTTTCGTTTGTATTGTTTTCCTTTGTAATCTTTACCGATGTAGGAGGCAGTTCGCTTACACCCTTAGTCCCTATAAGCATGCATGAAATGAAGCTTAATGCAAATTCAGTACAGGAACAGACTATCGCTCCCTTTTACACAGGTAAGAAAACTAGAACGTCAACCATTCGAGTTGGAACACGTTCATAAGCCCACGTGTTTCAAATAGACGATTCCTTTAATATTATTTATTTTGTTTTTATCGAATTTTATTATTTAAATACCAAAATGTTTCGTTGTAATCTCGGGAACAATCTGCCTGCGCCCTGGAAGCTTTTTTTTAAATGAGATTATTTATATTATTAATGTCGGAAACGATTTTTAAATTTTTTCCTGAAATATATTTGTTTAGGCCTGTAAAGTTTCACACTTCGACTTATGTCAAGGAAAACAAGAAAACAAACATCGGCAAGCATATGTTTATATACTATACATATATAAGGAGCGAGAGGCAAATAACGCTTTTCGTCTGTGCTTTTTCCACTCTGGTACTTAGATCGACGAAAAAAATACCAGAAAATTGCAAAGCGTTGCCAGATTTCTCTGGGTGAACGTACGCCAGGCACCGGCGTAAAGAATAAGTAATTTAATCTTTTGAGGTTGGAGTTTGCAGAGCATAGTATTTGACGGATCAAAACATGGACGGAAAAACCCATAAACTCAGCAAAATGTACTACAATAATACGATGTCGACTACAAAATATTCCCGATCCATTTACATGCCATTTTGTTGCTGCAAGCTGGCGAGTTACATTTGAATTGTTTTCCGTTGTTTTCCCGATCGTTCCTTTGGGAGCATTATGATATCTTTGGCCAATCCGGTCCGTTCCGTCTTATAAGCTACCTGCAACAGAAAGAAATATTTTTGCAAAGTTTAATCAAACAGACCGGCGGTCAGACAGACTTGACTACCAAACTAGACAAACTAGCCATAATTTATTTAAACATTATTTTCTTATTTTTTTATGTTGAAAGGCAATACAACCCTTGACCACATTTTCCATTACAAGTAATTCAGATTGGAACTGATAATTTAAAGCGGCGATATTGTAATCCAGTCTGAATTCCAATATTTCCCGATTACTAGATTTACAAAACTCGCCGTTGGGTTACGTCACGTTAATTAGTGTTCAAAACGAATTTACTTCTGTAACCTAAAACTCATGCAACATTTTTTTTATACTAAATAACGCAATTGTAAACGATAGTCAGCTAAATAATCTCTGGCAGTGCCCTTTCATATTTGAGCATTAAGAACTTAGCCTGTCATACTTTTAATTTCATTGCGAATATACCAGCTCTTACGTTTGACGGCAACTACTCAACAATGACCAGCTTGGAAAACGGCTCCGCCCCGCCAGTGGGACCAGGAATCATTGCTGTCCAAGAAGGCGCTGATTCGGCTAACCTTTGCCCGATTAGGATTCACCAAGACCACTCGGAAAGCAATAGTAACCGTGTTAAGGAGTCCCAGGCCACCAGTGATGGATGCAGGAAAGCGGAAAACAAAGAAGCTGATAAACACAATTCCAGTTTGGAAGCCAGTGAACATATTTCTTTACCGCACCTTAATCATGTAACCGAAGAGCAGTTGATTAGAGGCAATAGACGGGCTCCCTTAAACACAATTACGCACACGTCTTCCCTAATCCTCCTGCAGTCGAACGGAGGAAACCCGTCACTCAGTGTTAACCCGTCCGACGATCGATCAGACGTTGAATCCAATCTTCGTAATAATGTAGGCCTTTACTCAACATCCACAGTGCTGCCAAGTTTTAGTCACTACTCCGCAGGCAAGTTGAAAATGATTGCGCACACTGCACTGAGAAAAGTTTCCACCGACATTCTCATTTTTGCACTTTGATTTATTGCACAAAGCCGGTGTTGGGATTCTTAAAACCGAACTTGAATACAATCAAATCTTAAAAGATTGTAGTCGGTAAACATTATAAACTATAACTATTATTATATAACGATTCTAGCATAAGAGTTTCTTAGTTCCAAACTTCCAATTCCAAAATCCAATTGATAAAAATAAACTAGAAGAATTGTAGAAGCAACATTTTTATCAACGAATTTAGGACTTACAATATTGTTTAGTATTGTCGGTTCGTTTCGGAATTGTAAATGGTTATCATTTATCAATAATATAATTTTAATATTTCTAAGCAAAATAAATGAAATTACGCAAAGTAAGTCACATCGTTCATATGCTTTGCTTATATTGTTACTACTATACTACTTATAGTGTTACTACTATGACTGTTATACGCTTCGCAACCATATTCGATAAAATTGCTTGACTTTTGAAATACCTCAAAATCCTGAATATATTACAGTTTTCGGAAAGCTTTAGTGCTCAGCAGGACATTCATAATGCTATTGAGGCAAAAGTTTTTAGAAAAAAAATACCGGAAAATACTGATATTAAACAATATTTCGTTACTGAAAACAGGAACAAGCGTAGCAAATCTTGGTTGCAGGTCCACAATGCATTCTGCTGGACCTCTGGCCGGAAAAAACTCCAAAATGTACGGGAAGCTTTGCTCTTTTTTAGAAATTGTGGTTAAGTAGTATATAACAGTATAGTAAAAAAAGTATATTTGAGCTTAGGGAACCAAAATATAACTTTGCTTCTTTAGGTCAAATATTGCTATTTATTATTTACGCATTAATCTACACTAATTAAAAAAACTTCTTCGTAATATTTAAAACAAAAATGTTTGTGGGGGTGCACAGCAATCCTGTTTGGTTAAAACTTGTATGGATAGAAATACATAAATACATGGCAAAAAAATGTTGTGTTAGCCCAAGGTATAACAATTTAATTCTACTTTCGGTTATGTATATGTACTTAAATAAATGTTCAAATAAGTTGAACTCTTAATACCTAGCAGGAAAGTGTGAAACTTTTCAACATTATGGTTTCAATTGGAGCAATATGCAGAAAAAAGAATATGATACATGTTTCCCATTTATTTCACATTTTAGTTAGTTAGATGTCTTCAGTTTAATTTCTTAAATTATAATTTATTCATTTACGTATTTTAATTTTTATCTTGACCTTTAGTTGAATTTTATTCAGTAAAAAAACCTCTAAAAATTGTAACTTTCTTGCAGGTTGTAGCTCGGTTGTGCCCAGCACAGATTACGCCTATAACCCCGCCTATACACAATATGGTGGTGCATATGGATCCTATGGCTACGGAGCTAGCGGCGGCTTGATAAGTAAGTAAAACATGATAACTGACCCATGAATAACTTTTTTATATTTTGCCAGTGAGGGTATTTAGTTGGAAATTTGTTCTAATTGACTCCCCTCTTTTACTTTAAAACGACTGTCCGCGATATTAAATCAGCGATAGAATAGGTATCCAAGCGCCGCTCATGGTTGAGCAAACAACAATAAATTTCAAGTGTGCCAGAAATAGAACATTCCTCAACTTTCCCATACATGTTATAAGAATAGGTTACCTTACATAGATGCTGGACCTCGAAAAAGTTTGAATAAATTGCTAACAAAATTACCCGCGGATTGATGAGGCTAATAGATTGTTAGATTCGTAAATGTTTTATCTTTTGAACGTCGGTTAATGAATAAAGGAAGATGTGCACCCCGTGAGTCTAGGAGTCCCAAGGGGTTAAAATCAAATTTCAAACACTTTTTTTGCAACCTTTCAATCCTGTTTGCATGGACGACGGCTCTTGGATTCCATATAAAGGAGGCTTGCTTAATTTTAGAGCGCAAAAATGATAGGTATAAGGATTGTCTGGTGTAGGGATCACTAAACGACGCTGAGTTCCGCTTTACAGAACAAAGCATACCGTGCGCTATGGGGATCATATAGTCGAGGTGAGCAAAAAGGTTTAATTTTGAATCAAATATAATCCAAAGGTCTAAGGCTTCCTGTAGACTTTACACGAACTGGCCGCCAATATGACACCTAGTATTGAAATTGTAAATACATTTACTGTAACTCACGAAGTAGCATTAGTTAATGTTAAGAAGAAGCAGATTGCGCAGGCCCCACAAATATAAGGCTTTTAGAATAAAAATAGTAGCTAATACCATTTATAAAAAGCGATGAATAGCAATAGACCCAAACACTGCCCTGAGGTCGTCCATAGGTTACATACACGTTTCTACCCGATATTTAGCCGAAGTTTTTTCGGTGCAACTCTGAACCAGAGGCGTAGTCGAAGAAGTAGTGGGAGCTTGGGATGTTAACGCTCCCCCAGGCAGCAATTTGAATACAGAGTAGATATAAGCCATTGCTTAAATGTGCAGATAAACAATTTAGCCACTTATCCATAGTATTAAAATAATAAAAAAAACGACAAAAGCACTTCTAAAAGAGTTTGATAGAAGTAAAGACCCCCTCAAAAGATTCTGCATACGCCCCTGTAACACTTGATAGATGGTGCAACACCATTAAAAATGCAAACCGTTTCTTTTGGATGGGCTCTGTGGGACTGGGCTACTACTAGTTTTATTTTGTTATGTTAAAATTAAAAGAGTTTCAAAACTTAAAAAAAAAAAATGGCAAAATAAATTTGAAAAAAAAAAACGTATTTCTATAATATGGTACATATTTTATTTAAACAAATTATGTTCAGAAAATCTTTAAAGCTTTATTAAAAATGAACTAATGTATATGTCCTCAAGTTGCTAATTGAATGAAATAAAAGTCTTTAAAACTTTTATGTTTTAAAAATATTTGCCGTATTTGTTCGCTTTTGCCTGCCAAGTATGTTCTTTTGGCTAACACCTAAAACAAATTTATTATATTTATTGTAGATTCATCCTACTACTACGAGGGCGGGCAAACTCAGTCGGCATTAACACAAGACCTGCGTTCTCCTTTAGCTGCAACACGAGCGAACTCTCTTGCTTCGGCTGCTTCACCTGGAAGTGGAAGTGCGTGCACAAAATCCGAGTCCTCGGACATTTTTCTTGTTTAATTTTAAAAATTAATCTTAAGAAGGTGGACAGTAGTGCCAATCAACCAATCAATCGGTAGAGCACTAATGCCCCGGAAAGATTTTTTGCCTAAGCAGCTATGAAGTATATAAGAAGCATTCACTAATTTACACAGAAACACCAAATTGAACTTTTTCAAATTTCCACAATTGTACTTTTCCATAATAATTGGGTGCTCCTGAGTAAAATCCCCAAATAAACGTATGTTCCCTTTGCTAAGGGATCCGCGGTAAAGCTAATTAATACGAAAATCGGATGTCTGACGGCATTTTTTATACTGCAGCCCATATAATTGGAGTTATTATCATTATTATCCAAGTCTTTGGAATATGACGTCAAAGTTGAAAAATCAGATTTTTATACAATTTCTCCAGTCCTCTAAAAAATGTATTCAATGGAATATATTATATTTTCTCTTTGAATGTATAGTTCTCTGTGTATTGTAATTTCGGTTTAAATAGTATTAAAGGTAAAATAAATTGGGCTATTTAAATAATTAAAAGAAACATTTCATCTACTATTATTTGTTCTCCAATTTAAAAAAAAAAGTCATGGCGCCCATTTTACCACTCCACTCCGTTTTTCAATTATATAGTGACGTCATAGCAAAACTTAAATGGCCAATAACTTCTAAAATAATAGCTTGATTTTAAACATTTTAAACATACTTGTTTTGGGTAGGAATTATTCGAACCTGCATGGCAAATCCCAAATCTCTAGCTTGTATAGTTTCCGAGATCTCGACGTTCATGCAGACGGACGGACTGTCGGACAGAGAGACTAACTCGACTATTGTTTCTGATCAAGAATATATTTACTTTATATGGCCGGAAACGCTTTCTTCTACCTGTCACACACTTTTCAACGTATCCAATATACCCTTTTACCCTACGAGTATCGAGTATAATTGTGTAACATTAATTATATGGGCTGCATAATTAAAAAGGTCTTTAAACATTGGGTTTGTGTATTCTTTAAACATTAATGTTAACATTTTTAAAAGGTTTTGCATTATTTGTTACTGTATTTTAAAGTTTTTCTTTTTGTTGTACAAACTTTTTTACAAAAACCACCAATCGAATCGGAAAATACCAAGTTTAAAATACGAAAAATGCAAGTTTTATTTTACATTTATAACAAGAAATTAAAGTACATTTATAAACTGCGTTCTTTGCTTTCCGTTTAACAATAAGAACGGGTACTTGCAATACTAAGTACATTTAAACACACATTCGTAAATACGTAAAAATGTACAAGCTAAAGGTACACATTAGCATAAATACATACATACGCGAAACCAAATCTCGACCCTATAAAATTAATCGTTTAATTTAACGGATTTAGTGAATGACACAACTTTTTATACAAACTTGCATTTATAAATGAATTTAAGTTATAAGTTTAGGAGGCTTACAACAATATTTTAGATAACTTGTGGTCGTAAAGACTACTCACAAACATACGAAACCAAAATGTCCATAATGCGATAATCAACCAAAAATATTAAAAGAAAAGTTTAAAAAACTTTTGATATATTTATTCCCGTTTATTTTGTTCGAGCGTAAAAAACTTAAGATTTCATGTAAAAATGTATATAATTAAAAACCTCTTACATATACTATCAATTAAGCTTGTAGAGGCACCGAGTTTAAATGTTCTTAAACAAGTACACATCAACTACAGTGCAGCACGGAATTCAGAGTACTTCCGAAAACATAATTAGGTGCACACTACCTAAACAATTAAATGTTGCACAGTAAAGATAGTTCATACAGCGCGTAATACACGAGCTGTATTAAATTATAATACTTTTTAATCTTACATCTCTATTCCAAGCTGCAATTTATTTATTTTCTTGTGTAATTCATTACTTTAGTTGTTGGAAAAATTGAAAATTCATGTTTTAAATTATGATTAATAATTACTTTCAAGATTTTGCAATATTTTGCTGATTTAATAAAAATAGAAAACTGTGAATGCTTAAATGGATGAACGAACTACACAGGCCAACAGCCATTTTTGTGCAGACCAAATTTTACAAGCTAGTACAGCGCTTAAACGTAATGTCTTTATCGCCTTCAATTGCAAGTTAACTTTAGTAAAAATTTAAAACCGAAAACCAATCTCTTCCGGTTCAGATACCAGTTTCGCACCACGATTTTATTTCAGTTTAGATGTTTTGGATCCGATTAGGAACCGATTCTTCCTTGTACAGCAAGAAAATGTTGAAAAATCATAATAATAATATTTAAAAGTATTTATACACATTAACTAGATAAAAAATATAATTAAAATAAAATATCAAAGTAAAAAATTTGTATTCCATTCAAGATTCAGATGTTAAATCAGTTGATTTTCGATTTTAGTTTATTTGCTTGTTGTTAAATGCTTAGTCTATAAATTATTATTAAAACAAAAATTTACAGTGATTTTAATTTTTTTAATGCATATTTTTCATTAATATTTGTTGTCATTATTTTGTGAGTGCAGATTTATCCAATTTCTGTTAGCAAATTTTATTTTTTTGTAAAAGCAGTTGCGTTAATTTAGTTTGTTATCAGGTTTTTTTGAATTAAACTTCATCAGCATTTATTTTCGACGCAGTTAATTATTACAGTTAATTGATTTAATTTTTTTTTAAAGAAAACATAAATGTCTGTTGGCCTCTAACTACATACTTATGTGTGAACAGACTAAATCAGCACAAATCCTAATTCTTTTGGGCTTGGTAATATAATCTATACATCCAAAAAATTGTAATATTATACTGTGACAGAATCCTCACAAGGTGTATTTTAAACAAGTAAAATTATGTATGGCACGTTACCATTTTCCAAACTATTTGTAAGCTTGTATACTGATTTAAAATACTCTAGTAGACTTCAGAACTGGACTTTTGAACTGGATCTGGATTCGTAAAGCTATGTATTTAGGCTTAGACTAGAAATAGATAACAGTTTATAATAAGAAAGCACAAACCAAATTTAAATGTATTTAGAAATAAATATGTGTGTATCTTAATAAAATGATAAAAGAATCCAAAAAGATCGAAATGATATTTAATATGATTAGCAAAACATAGATCAAAGAAAGTGAGAATGCTGAGATGTGGTCCAAGTAGTGTAGTTAAGAGTTATTCCATACGTAAAGAAATAAATATCGTGCCCAGAAAAGGTAGGTGCTGAATTCTGGTCTTAATGTTTAATATTTGAGACATCATGAACAAAAAAAAAAATCAAGTAATGAATGAGTGTTATTCTCTATTGTTTACAGCATAAAGCTGGGATATTATCCCCTGGGATATTCCCCCCGGAATCCCTCGGGAATTTTAAATTGTAGGCCATTCCCAAGGAGCTCCCGAGGAATTCTCCAGGAATTCTTTTGAAAATCCCTAGGAATTCTCTCCGACAATTTTGTTGGAAGTCCCTAGGTATTCCTTAGGAACTCCTGGGGAATTCTTTAAGAAAATTGAAGGAATCCTACCGAAAATCCTTGTCAAAATCCTCACACGTTCCTGGGGAATTCCTTGGAAATTCTATGAAAAAACGCAGAAATTCCACTGGAGTTCCCTCAGGAATCCTCAAAGAATTCCTAGTAAAAAATTACATATAATAGATTTTTATTGAACTAATTTATTTAATTTTTTTTATTTATTATTTCTTTATTTTTGCTTTTTGTTCTTGCTTGTGTAATTTTTAAGGAGATTTCGACTCAGCAAAGCCGTAAAAAAGCAGTGACAATCTGAAGAAAACTGCCCGGATTACCTTTAATTCAGAAAGGTTCTTCCCTAGTCACGACTAATTCAGTATCTGTGGCCAGTAAAGAAAAGAAATTGGATCGGCTGGATGATAATCTTTGGCGATTTTGAGAAGTTGAAAGCTGCAATGAGCCAATAATTCGAGTTTCCAAAGAAGAGTTAGATTGTGGACGCATTTTGTCAAACCTGTCACTTGCTTACCAGCAGGTGATTATTGTATTAGGCTCCCTGCCAAGTTTACCCTGGCTTTATTGGGAGATTCCTACGAGCAAGCGCGTCGTAGATTCTGGTCTCTCGAGATAAAGCTTGAGCATCGCCCAGCTGTAAAGGCTCAATACGCGTCGTTTATAAAGAAGTACTTGTATATTGATCTGGGACACATGACTCTCTGGTTCCTGCCGTTGATACCATTTCGTGTCGATATTTTTTGCCTCATCATTGTGTCATAAAAGAAGATAGCTCTACCACAAAGCTTGGCGTCGTTTTCGATGGATCGGCGGCCACCTCATCCGGCTATTCTCTGAGTGTTCACGCTACGTATTTAGCGGTAAGGGCCATGCATTAATTTTCAATAGATGAGCAGGCATCTTTTCCACTTGGAGCTGAGATTCTTATTCGTGACTTCTATGTAGATGATCTTCTAACTGGCGCCAAATCTGAGAAAGAAGCTACCACCATTAGGGAGGTAGGGTAGGTATCTCGAATCCTAGCTAGAGGTAAGTTCATGCTCCGAAAAGGGAGAAAATGGAATTTATAATACCCTCTGCAAGGGTATAAAAAGAGGCAAACAGAGTTAAAGTTTCTATTTCAGAATGAAAAGTGAACTTTTGAAGAAACGTTTGTCTTAGATTATACAAACCTCCAAAAAGACTTTGGGTTATGTCTTGGCCCGCTCTCGACGTCTGATATATACTGATGGTAAAGAAATTTATTTCAAAACTCAAATTTCCGTTTGTGTGGCAAGTGCCTATTCCAATCAGTCGGATCACACGTTACTAAGATTTTTTTTATAAATACTATTCAGTATTAAAACTGAGAGACTAGTTTACGTAGAAAGACGGACATGGTTCGATAAACTCCCTTGGTGATTTCATTCAAGAATATATACCTTTTAATACCCGTAAATATTTTTTGTTTGACCCAAATAAGCATCCTTTATTCCTTTCTGTTTGCATTGCCCATTACTCTATCCACAAAAAGCAGAATTTATCTAAATATCTTATTTTTAAATAAAATTAGTTTCAACTAAACAAATAAAACATATGTATTTAATTGTACATTTGTTCACAAATTTAGAGCTTGTATGGTCGATTTAAAAAATAAAATTCTTACACTTTTCGATATGTTTCTTAATCTAAGCTTTAAAGTTTTAAAATAATAAATCCATAACAAATTCTTTTTTATTAAATAACTCAATTGATTTGGCTATTTCGATTCCATTTGGAATACTCAGTAATTAAATATTAAGCTTAAATTATGGGGACGGAGAAACCTCCTTCTATGCATTAGCGAAAGAATGCGGTTGAAGATTGTTAGACAAGTGCATGTTACATTCTTAAATGATGGTTGACAAACAATAAATTAAATAGGTCTTATATATATAAATTTATATATATATATATATATATATATATATATATATATATTTGTATGCGTATATGCTTTTATTAGGGATCTAGCGACGCTGGTTATATAATAATTGTACTATACCTTAACTATAATTTGTGTTCGCGCTAATAGTACATGTACATACATATGGTGTATTGCGCACGGCCACTGACTTAGTTTTTACAATCGTACAATTGCAACATAAACATTTGTGGAAAAATCATGTATAAATGCGGGTCCTTACAATTTTGTGTGCATGCATATATGCAGACTCTCATTTGAACTGATTTAACTTTCGGATAATTGTTGATTTAGTAGTTTATATTTTAAAAGCACATTTACATATTTTAGTTCCAGTTTTAAGAAATAATTTAATACAATATGTAATTCACTGTTGAAAAATATTGGTGTTATCCCATTCAAGTTGATTGATGTGAGCGAATCCGTCCTTTAAAGCTGATAAAAAAGAACCAACATTACACAACATAGAAACAACAAAATAAAACAAGTTACTGTACCTTCTTCGTCTTCAGAGTCAGAATTTTCTGATTCTGAACTATCCTCAGATGCACCATCTGTTTGCATTGGATTTATAGTTATAGTCAAAGCTGAATCATCCCAAACTAAGCCATCATCAACAATCTAAAAATAAAAAAATAAATGTTAATCGTTAGTTATGTTTTTATGTTATTAGGGTGCTCCCTTGAGACAACAAAAATAAAAGAAACCGGCCCTAAGTCTCTCAATTATTTATATTATGCTTTGTTGAATTTTGATATTATAGCCCAAGTTTTTTAATACTTTTTTTCTTGCTTCAACGTTGTAATTATTGTTTGTGTGTATATATATGTTATACTTACTTTTGGACATGGTTGGTGGCGCTCGCTATATTTTTGGTTGTTTTTCAAACGTGCAATCGAAACGCCACAAAGCAAAACGGCCAAAAAAACACTTACAAGAATTATAAGCATTGTAAGGTGTGATCCTTCAGCTAAAAATATTTTCGTAATTAATATAAAATTACCAGTTTGAAATATGGTGTTTTTCTTTATTCCATTAGCAATTTGAATTTACCTTTGTGTACGAACGAATGAATGTGAGATTTCGGTTCCTGCACATCGTTTGTGTGCAGCAAAGAATATGAATATATCTTAGAATCTGAAGAAAAAGATAAACATTAAATAAATTTTGTATATGGGTCATATCACGTCTGTAGCGAACACCCACCAGTTGCCTGATTGTCATTGTCACTTATCGAACCACTTTTTTGGTGATAAGTTGTTTCAGTGTTGGTATTGCCAAGAGCATTTGCGTTAGATAAAGCCGACGAAGATGGTAGATTTGTAGACTTAAACAACGTCTGTTTAGGATGCAACACAGTAAGTGTGAGTGTATATTCCGCGCTTTTGTACTGAGAGCTAAGCTGAGCACAAGAAAGCTTAAATACTCGATTCAAATAGTATGCCGGTTTTTTGTTACTGTAGACAAGAGACCGCAACACATTCAAATAGTTTTGAATGGTGTCCTTTCCTATCATTTCAACTCCATCTTTATTTATATTTGTCTTAATATCCATGGTAGATGATAATGACTCGTCACCATCTATTTGAATGTCTTCATGATCCGGATTCAAAGAGGGAAACACAACAACGCTACAGGAGTCCAAATGATTTTTCCTTTCGACTTTTCCACTATTCTTGGAAAGCGAATCGATGTAAATTTTGTCCAGTATGTGTACGCCCAATTTAATCTCTTGATACGAAACCAACTTATTCGAAGTTCCTGGAAACAAATGATTATAGTGTAAGAAACAATAAAATCGTATATTATATATAAGGTATGTATTATTATTTCGGGCTCCTAAGAAAAAGACCCATAGGAACATATGTTCCATCAGCTAAGGCTTCCGCGGTATAGCTAAGAATACGAAATTCCATAATTCAGCAAATTCGAAATTATGGTTCCTATTGCAGATGTAGGACTTAGACGTCCTATCGCCCATAAGTGTACCCGAATAAATAGATTCGAAGAGTTTTACGTAAATGGCTTTAACTTTAGCTATAGGACATAATATAAAAGCTATGGGATATAGACGACCGATCAGCGTTTTCAAATGTAATCTGTGTACACATTTTAAAGGACGATTGCATAAGTTTAATAAGTTTTTAACTTTTAAACTGAGCTCGCAACGGCAATTTTTGATTTTCCCTGTTGGGATATGCTTATTTTATTTGCACTTTACGTACCTGATATTGATATTTTGGTGGAATCCATTTGTGGGTCTTGGTCAGAAGTCTCCAGCTGCAATATTGGTTTGAATTTTTTAATATTAACTTCTAAAGATGCATTCATATTTTCATTTACCGACGCCGAACCCACACCATTATCTATGCCGAGTGGAGCGATCGGTTCGTTAACCATAATATAGGTCTCAATTGGCGGCAAGCGAAGTGAACTTTCATTTCCACAAGTCAGAGTTGTTCGCACTTCAATGTTACGGCGTCCTACTGTGGGGTTATGTTTAATATTGATGTACTGAATTTTGCGCATCAACTGTTCAACATCATGTTTTGTTTGGCCTTCAATATAGATTTCGCTCATTTGAATGTTTGCCTGAATCTGGGCGTTTAAAGAGTCGGAATTTTTGTTCTTTATTGGCTTAGGTGATAACAAGTGCTCAGCACAGGTGGTTCCACATTTAATATCTTCACTAGTCAAAATACCATTGAGGGCGACTTTAACCTCAGAAATGTCACCATTAAAGCCATGTTTCAATCGGTTTTCCAAACTTTGGTAGCAAGCTCCAATAGCTAAAGAGGTATTAACTCCATGGGCAGCGTGTAAGGGCCAATCGTCAATTACCTCCGGGTTGCTATGATGATCCTCAATGGAGTTCTCAAAACGAACGCCGTCAATGAATAAGCTAACCTTTGCCGGGTCTTCTACGTTCAAAACATAATGATGCCATTCGTTGTCGCAAACCTCAGGTATTTTCCAACGCCATTCAGCAGGACTAAATATATTTAAATCCCCTTCGTTAAAATTTTTTCTTAGCAAGAGAATAAGCCGACAATTGCGAACAAACAATGCCATATGGTGGCGGTTCATTTTGTGGTCGTCAGCACTGCAAACAATATGCTCCTTAACATGTTTATTAGCCACACCTTGACTGCTATGCCGAAACATTGTAAGAATGCTAAAGGCACGTGTTGAAAAATCGTAGTGATCAATGACAGTGTTAGGAACCACTACTCCAGTGGAACCATCAAAATGAAATATAGGTTCCGAACCTTCGTCATAACTTAGTTCTTTAGTCCACTCTGCACCATGCGGTAAAAGGTCCTTCATTTTTTGGCTTGAAGTGCAATTTGTTATGTCCCGGTCGCATCCAAATGAAATGTGTTTTGTCTGAAAAGGTATATAAAAAAAAGCTAAATAAATACTTTACTGCACAAGAGACAAGATATAAAGGCTAACTGGATGAGGCTAAAAGATGATACAATACATTGATAGGGCATTTCATACAAAGAAAAGAAGTTTATAAATATTCTATAAAAAATACTAATAATAATACTTTGGTTGCCTTCATGTTTAATAACAGTGAATCAATAAATTATTCGATTGTTCCAATGGCAGCTGTATGACATTGTTTTCCGATTTAAAAACCGTATTTCTGAAGTAAGAAACCATTACTATGCAACGAAGTACATTCAAATCAATTGAAAAATAATGTTCATGTTCATGTTCAGGCGTTGAATCGGCCAGACGAACGGAAACACTGACATGGCTAGATCGACTTCGTAACAGGGTATCCAATCGGTTTCTTAGTCGTTTTTCTTAACCGAAACCGATATAATATGTTTTTGCCTAACCGGAACCGAAACGTAAATATAATGCAACCAGAATAACCGTTACCGAAAATCTTACATGTTCGACAACAATTTAAGTTGTACTTTATTAATTAATTAACTTTTTATATATGAAGTTGCTTCAAAAGCTATAGACTGATTCCATTGGCGCATAAAAACGCATTTAGACTAATGCGCATTTATTTTCACAGACAATTGCCGCATTTAAAATAAATTTTTGTTATAGTTCTTCGATGTTTAGTGATGGTTTTTATTTTGGACTTACGGCTAAAATTTGATAAAAATCAGACGACTATTTCATATAGCACCCATAGAAACAATCAGAGTAAAAAAAACGAAACAAAATTGTAATTTCTCTATTTTAATTTTTTTTTAAATTCTTTTTAAGTGTGTGTCGGCAGAGCACCGACGCTTTGCCGGCGCAACACTGTTCAATGCTCTCAATGCACATTCATTAAAAAAAACTTTTTTGAACCCAAACAGTTCTTTTCCATACACTAAATATTTGCTCCATTTATTGACGAATTCTGTGAACCGCGGAAAGAGCTTTTACACGTTGCTTTTAAACGTTAAATTCAAACCTTGTAGCTAAAATGTTTTCTGCCATTAATTTTAACGTGTAAATGTTTGCAGTTTTTTAAATGCTGAAAAATATTTATTATACGTTATTACATTTTCCGGCTTCCAACTCAGCAGTGTTTTCATTTTTAATTTGCATTTAAGACCGGCAATAATTGTATTTTTAG